TATAATTAATATAAATATAGGTTCATGTACAATAGAAATTATATATCCATGACATAGTGTTCACCAGTGATACAGATATATCCATGGTATAAATATTTGTAGGATTGAATACTAAATGGTTTTTCACCTTGTCTTTTTAAAAATTGAATGAGTGTTCATTCAGTCACCTATGGAAGAACAGGATGGGGGAGGGATTTCTTGGATGCCACTTTTTCTTCCAGGCTTGACAGGCGTTCATCAGAGCACTGTTCAAGAACCGTGCACCCAAGAAAAGTACGCAGGAGTACAAGTAGAAAGTACTAATATGTATTAATCACATACACAATGTTCCAAGCGTCGTTCCACAGGCTCTCCACCTCGCTCATCTTTCCTGATCTTATCGTTTGGAAGAAAGCTTAATGGTCACTGAGTTGCAACTCAAAAAGCTGAAATCCAGGTGTCCTAACTCCCAATCTGTTTTTAAGGGACCTATTTTGAATGATGGAACGTCTCAAAGTGCTGTTCCTAAGGAAGGGAAATGGACAAGGTCCCGACTACATAATATGCGGTGAAGAAAAGCTTAGGACCAGACTGCTGGAGTTGCAGATCTGAAAGAAATCCAGATGTGTTTTGTGCATATTGGTCAATGGATTTCAAGGATAATGGAGAGTTTCTATACTTGCTGCATGGTTGCTCTTTTAACAATTCTGAGTATACTTCCTGTAGACATACATTTAATTAACCAGCAATATAAAGGGAGGCTGAGTAGATGCGATTGGCCAAGAGGTGAAATGATGCATAGGCAGACAAAACAATGCCATCTTTATGTTGTTGTAGTTTTGGATCTTCAAAGATTATTCTGATGCCCTTAAATACTGCTTTAGTGCCCAGTCATAAGGAAAATGTTTCAGTGGGACTTTGTTGGTATTGATTTCTTTTTCTGAATTTGCCCACAGTTATAACTGTAACTGCAAATTCTGCTATTCAATACTAGTACAGGGCTACCATCTCTGGGAAGTCATGGTTCCTCTTGCATCACCAAAATAATGTAGAAATAAGGACATTAAAATGCTCCTGACCAAATTTGTTATTAGCTTTATTTATCACCCAGTGTAAACAATAAATAGTTTATTCCCTGTTGCACACACAGCTTAACATCTCAGAGCTATTACAAGCATTACACATCATCTCTGGCCGACATTTGGCCGAGGTACCATACTTCCCTCAAGTTCAACCCTGTAATCATAACATCAACTCATTCCACTGTGCTAAGTGTGTGCGGATGGGGAGGTGGCTGCTTGGAAGAGCATCTATCCAGCCATTATAGGATGAGTGGCACAACCTCTTCCACATCCCTGTGGTGAGTGGGAAGTTCTTTTTCTGCATGTTCCTTCACTTCTGTATCTGCCTCCCCGAGAGTCCACAGGTCCTTTCCTTGTAGACACTCTTGCCTAAACACATCCTTTCCTTCTTCATGAGACAACTACTGCAGTTCTCAACATTTCCAAATCAAAAAAAAAAATGTAGTGAATGATGTGTCTGTCTTAGTGAAAGCATCTTTAATTGTGTTCCAGCATACTGAGTGCTTGCTATAAGAAGAATGTCTTTTAAATGTTGATTTGTTTGAAAGAGTAACAGGAAACAGAGAGAGATCTTCCATATCCTGGTTCCTTCCCCAGATGGCTGAAACAGCTCAAACTGGGCTGGTCCAAAGTTCTACCAGATTTCCCACATGCAAGCAGGGAGCCAAGGACTTGGACCATCCTTACTACTTTTCCAAGCACATTAGCAAGGAGCTGGATCACAAAGGGAGCAGCCAGGACACAAACTGGTGCCCCTATACGGAATACCAGCATTACTGGCAACAACTTTACTCATATCACCACAGCACCAGCCCCAGCAAGAAAAGCAGGAATTTGGTGACATAAAATAGTTTTCCTTCTAGCCTGTGTTAGATTTTGCTGGTGAAAGAGAAAGGGAGAACAATTGAGAAGCAAACGTTCAGCATCCATAGTGGAAAGTAGTTTGTAGTATTTGTAGTAACCATCAACTTTTTAGTTCAATCTTCCTCTTTGCTGAGTACCAATTCCACAAGGGTTTCCAAATTAAAACAAAAACTTAGAGTGGATAATTCCATATTTTTCTATGGAGAATCACATTATCTTTAAAATGTTCACTCTGAAAGCATCACAGCAATGTCCATTCTGTATATAAACAAGCTCATTGGAACAACAGCTCTGTAAAAGGCTGAGGAGGAAAAACGACAGAATTTGGGGTTAAAGTTGAGAGCACATTACACAGATGCTCAGCTACTGTCTGCAGACGTCAGCTATGCCTGGCACGATGTGCTCTGTTTAGTTTCTTACAGGATTTACTTACCTTTGTAACAGCAACTGCATCAGAGGCTCACTTGCAACTTGAGAGATAATATTAAAAAGTTGTAAGGCCCAGCTTTTTTATTTCTCTCTGAAGCTCTAAATCCTCTAAATAGTTTTCTCATCTATAGAATGAGACTAACAATATTTACTGCATACACTTCATGTATGTATGTATGTATGCATCCTGTGTTCAAGTGTCTTGTGCAGCTGCGGCCAAACATTATTATAAAACATTATTATTAAACATTTTTATTAAACATTATTATCCCAATGAAAAGACTATGACTCTGTTTTTTAATTCAATATGCTGGACTTCAGTAATACAATACTAGAAATTTCTACTTCATTTTAATCAACTTTTCAGATGCTTAGATTAAGATTAAAATTTATAATGCTAAATATCTTGAAACATTTTGTCATCAATTGTCAAAACATAAGAGCAAATAACTTCATGCAGAAAGCAACAAATAGTACTATTTCCTCACAGTGATTGTGACATTCGTATTTGCCTTCCTAATATGCAACAGATGTGAAAAGACATGGGTTTGTCCCACCCCACCCCCAAACCTCAATGCAGCATATGGCACCGAATCAGTTTACACTGGATGGGACACAGTAAAAGATGCATGTATCTATGGCAAAATCAATCCAAATTTCCTGTTAATTTTTAGTACCGTATTCAGGACACATCTGAGGTCTTTGTGGTATTTAGCTAACAAAATTAAAATCTTGAAGGTGAACAAAATTGTCTAACCATTTTAAAATTAATTTTGTATATCAAATTATTGTAACTATACACAAACACACGTGTATGCGCACACACACCTTCTGTGGCTTTAAAAGTTAGTACCTGCAAGAAAAGGCCCTGGAGAAGCATGAGTGAGGTATTTTTGTGTTAATGGTAACTGCAGCTTAGAAATGGTTCTGCATAGTCAAATCAAACCACCCTACCAAGGTCTGCACAAACTTCCATTAATGGAAACACAGCAGCTCTCAAGCTGGAAAATCAGGTGATCTTACTCATTAAGTTGATACCATTTGAAATTTTTAAATACATGATAGAGATTTCATGTGGATGACTAAAATCAGGCAACGCCAGGCTGCATTTTTAAATGGGCCATATTAAAAAAACACTGCTAAATCTGAGAATCTGTCTTCCTTCATTTATACATATAATTAATTGTTTTATATATATACATGTATATATATATGTATAGCTATTTCAAAAAGTTCATGGGAAATGAAATTAAATGCTGCAAAATGTTTTGAAATCCATGCATGATTTTTCAGAATAGGTATTTTCTATAAACTTACTAAAGTCCCTTTAAAGCATAACTATGTCAAATTCTCTGACAGAAATTAATCCTACTCCTTCTTGTCTCTTCCCCCCAACACACATACACATACACATACACAAATCCACCCCACAATGAATGGAAACATCAATTGCTTTCACTGATATCAACGTATTTCATTAATCAAACTACTCTTAACAGGCTTCAGAACAGTCGACGGCATTTGGTGGACTGAAGACAACAGTCTCTTTATCTGCAGTCAAGGCTCACACTTCTGCCCTCCGTGAATACAGAAAGGTCTGAGGGCAACAGGATTTGGCAGATGCAATACTTACCACTCAGTTCTCGAAGCACAGGTTGAGCAGAAGTACTGGAGACAGAGCTTCCAGGATGCAGCCCCCTCCTCATGGCACTTCATCAGTGCCCTACGGATTCCCAAACTCACCTTTGTCAGGCTGTGCCAGCTGAAAGTAGAAAGAGCTGCTATTGCATTAGCCACTGGAGTACACGACATGAAATTGGACAGCAAGCTCTGAAATGACCCTTATGGTAGCCCAGCGTACTACACAGGCCTGCTGCTGTATGACAGTTCATCCGGGACTAAGGAGACTGCTTTGGATACAAATCCATCAAACAGAAAAAAAAAAAAAAAACAAAGATTCACTCTCCTAAAAAAGGGAACTCAGATATTTACCATTAGAGGAATCATCTATTCGGGAATAAATTTCAACCTTGGGTGATCGTTCTTATAAAAGGAAGGACAGCACCACTTTGCTTTAGGAGCATTTTATTTGCAGCACATCAGAGCTTAAAAGTTCGTTTCTGCTCGTATCACACATGGAAACTTCAGAGAATGAGACTTTCATTGGCACAGCTCTAAGGGACCCTGCTGGAGGAAGGTAGTACGAATCTCACTTGTTCCCACAGTCCCTGGGGATCTCACTGCAGCTTACGGAATGAGAATGTACATTAGTTTCAAAAGTCAGAATACTCTTTCCCGACAGCCATAATTGCTTTTATTAATATTTGTTAACTAACTGTTAAACAGCATCACTCCAGATGACAAAGTGCAGACCAGTGCGTAGGCCTGTAATGTGGTCCAGCCTGCATGTGAGTTTAATGGACTCACCCATACACAAATATACACACACCAAAAACAACAGAAAAGTCAACTTACATATCTCACTGTCCTGTAAACTACAGCATTCTGCAGAGCTATGTACCTGTTCAAAAACAACCCCAGTGCACATGCATACATACCCTTTTTTCCTGGTCAATTCAACTCCAACTTATTATAAAAGAAGAGAGAAAGAGAGAAAGAAAAAAGATTTCCACCAATAGATTTATTTAAAAGGGAGCAAATTAAATGGAATTCTAGAGACAACAGCAGATATCTAGTTACAATTCACTTCCCTAATGCTGATTAACATATTCATTTTAACAAGTCAAATGTGTTGTCAAAAGATGGATGCTACTGTCCACGCCGCAGCGGCTACTGGTTTCCATTGTGTTTCTCAATCAGGCAACATGGCCTTCCCCCAGCTCCTAACACTGTTTATTTTGCTTCCTGCCAATCTTGGAAATAATTAGTTTTGTGTGCTGTTTCTTATAAATGTTTCCTGGTGCTTGATTGCTCTACTCATGTGGCATCTGATTTCAAACTGCCATTTTACCTTTCTAAACATTTGGAACTGTCTCTGTGTGAGAGGAATGCCCACCAGGCAAATGAAAATGAGGCCATAATTAGATGAGTCAAGTGTGTTTTACAATATATCCAGCTTTCTATACACACCAGAAATCTCTCAGCATCCAAGATTACCTTCACATTTGGGGTTGAGAACAGTAAATTAACATCCGAGGACTCCAGCAAAGAGGCCCCAGCCTCATTATGCTTCCTGGATTATTACTGCAAAGGAACATCTTTGCCATGATTACCGAAGTAAAAAACATATATTTAAGGACCTACCCACAGGCCATTAAAAGAAGAGAGCTCAGAGAAAAGCAGAAAACAATAGAGAAAATAGAAGTAATATCGGTTACCACATGATCTTTGTAGTAAACAATAGGATATGACGTGCAATAGTGCAATTTTCCTTTGCTAGTCCAGCAATGCAAGTCTTAACAGGAAGCCCACTGATGTTATTCTCTGTGTTGGAGGGTTTAGTTGCGTGCTTGCCGTGGGTTGGAGTTTCTGCCAGACTTCTGACTCTGAGCGGACTCGCTAGTGCTGGCCTCGCTCTTACTCAGTCCAAGATGACGGAGTTTCATGTCCCAACGCTGTAGAATTTAAAACAAAAAGTCATATGCACATCTCACCGACATCAGTGCTGCGATTCTAACAACTGGGCACCACAGCCACATCAGATCTCTCAAGCATGTCATTACTTTTGCAAAAAGTGTAACATCCTCACCCCAGGATACTGATGAGACTGACGCTATAGGAGCCTCATTCCGATCTGAAGTGCAAAAGCTGTGCTGTGGGAGGGAGATGCAGCAGCACCACATCCTTCTCAGCCAGATGTTTGCCCGATGGCCAAAAAGAAAGCCAAGGTGAGACAGGGCAGCAGAGGCCACGGCAGGGAGTGTGCAGGGTGGGGCCCTGCATCCACAGCACAAGTGCTGCGGCATGGGTGTCCGCCAGGGCACCTGCAGGGGCTCAGCCCCAGCGTGACCAGGTTGTCCTGCCTCTGGGAGGAGTCTGAAGCTCACTGCTTTGTGAGCAGGGAGTGTGTGTGATGGGAACACCGGCATCAGAGCCAGCCAGGGCAACCTGAAGAATGCCAGGTGCAATGCCCAGTGCCAGAAGATGTGACCAAGCCTCGCACCCCTAACACCAAAGCCAAGAAGGGGAATACAAAGGAGTAGAGGCCGGAATGGAAAAGCAAGGCATTTGGGCCATCTAGGGTCTGGCCCAAATCAACCTACCACTGCCTTTTGTCTGCTTAGCTTTATCAATCCCTCCCCCAGAGCCCCAAGTGCCCCAGGAGGAGAACAACAACGGATTCTGGGAAGTCTGAATGCCTTTCCAAGGTATTCAATTCTCAGCACCCTCTTTTGTTACTAGAAAGCAAAGCAATTTTTTTCCAAGAAAAACTTTCAATATCAAAAAAGGGAAAAACGGTTATTTGAAATATAGTCAGTACTATTTTTTAATCAAGCTTAAATGTGGCCCCGGCGCCATGGCCTAGCAGCTAAAGTCCTCGCCTTGAACCCGCTGGGATCCGATATGGGTGCTGGGTTATCCCGGCAGATCCACTTCCCTTCCAGCTCCCTGCTTGTGGCCTGGGAAAGCAGTGGAGGACGGCCCAAAGCTTTGGGACCCTGCACCTGTGTGGGAGACCCGGAAGAAGTTCCTGGCTCCTGGCTTTGGATCGGCATAGCATCAGCGGTTGTGCTCACTTGGGGAATGAATCATTGGACAGAAGATCTCTGTCTCTCCTCCTCTCTGTATATCTGACTTTCCAATAAATAAATAAATCTTAAAAAAAAAAGAAGAAGAAGAAGACAGGTGCCTCACAGGCCCTCAACAAATGAAAGATTTACCATGAAAATTTGACAGAAGAGATATTGTTCACCCTCTCTCTTCAGACACAAAAGAAGAGAGCCTTTTAAAGCCTGCAACCTGGGCAGGGGTATGAGCAGCCTCCACAGTGGCTTAGCAAGCCTGTGGCACCCATGGGGGTGCTGGTTTGTGTCACAGCCAGTCCATGTCTGAACCAGCCCTATGCTGATAGCCTGGGAGAGTAGCAAAGCATGGCTCGAGTCCTTGGGCCCCTGCAACCAACATGGGAGACCCAGCAGAAGGTCCGGGCTCCCAGCCACAGACAGGTGCAGCTCCGGCTGTGGTGGCCACTTGAGGAGTGAACCAGCAGATGAAAGATCCCTCTCTTTTTCTGACTCTCCCTCTGTCATTCTTCCAAGTAAATCAATAAATCTTTTTAAAAATCTGACAACTTGTGAGCTAGAAATAAAAAAACATAAACGGAATGTTTTAGAGAGATGGAGGTCTCTGCTACAAGTGTTACCCTGAGTCGTATCTGCCAAGAACGACAAACAAAACAGCAAAGGCTGTGCCCTCAAGCTAAGCTTTACAAAGCAGGCATGACTGATACTTTTAACAACCACACTCAAGTTCTGATACTGCATATTAACAGTGTCAACACATGACAATAAATCAAAATTACATTCAAAAATTCTACACAGTCACTAAGCACTGTAGCTGTAGATTTCAAACTCTGTTGTTGAACAAGGGAATCATCTGAGAATTTTTTTAAGTTGCAAATTTTTTTTAATTTATAAAATTGCTTTTTTTTTAAAGATTTATTTTTATTATTTTGTTTATTGGAAAGGCGGATATACAGAGAGGAGAGACAGAGAGGAAGATCTGCCGTCTGATGATTCACTCCCCAAGTGAACAAAACGGCCGATGCTATGCCCATCCGGAGCCAGGAGCCTCTTCCGGGTCTCCCACGCGGGTGCAGGGTCCCAAAGCTTTGGGCCGTCCTCGACTGCTTTCCCAGGCCACAGGCAGGGAGCTGGAAGGGAAGCGGGGCTGCCGGGACCAGAACTGGTGCCCATATGGGATCTCGGGCGTGCAAGGCGAGGACCCTAACCACTTGCGCCACTGCGCCGGGCCCTAAAATTGCTTTTTATGATACAGTTCCATAGGTATAGGGTTTCTCCCTCTAACCCCTCATTCCCCCTACCCATTGTTTGCCCTACTATTATACTATAGATTAAACTGCAGATTCTCATTCAGCAGATCTGAGATGAATCCCAAGATTTCTCTCCTAACAACTTCTCAAGCGATGCCCTTGCTGCTGGTCCAGGGTCCACACTTTAAGAAGGCAAGAGCTAATGTCACATGGCCCAATCTCATATTCTAGTTCTGACAATTAACATGCAGAGTCGCCCAAAATTACTAGACCTCAATTTCATTTATTCCAATGTAATCAAATATAATATTGTTTTGAACTGAAGGACAAAAATTGGATTCGTGTATAAAAATTAGCTCATATTATTTTCCTGTTATTAGAATTAATTCTTTCTTGTAGCATACTTCACAGTCTGAATTTCAACTCCCGAAGGCAGGCCAAATATCTTGATTGGAACAATCTGCTATCACATAGATGAGGGAAATAACCATTTGCATGGAAAAACCAAAGAAGGTCTTCTAAAACTTGACCTTCCCCCCTGAGAACAAAAGTCCGCTGAGCAGGACACTTTGATTTTACAAAAATAACCAAAAACTAATACCTTTCCTAAAATTCTTTTTCTATCTTCAAATTGATAGAAAACTAAAGAAACAACAGCAGTAATGTCGGCCTAAAGGGATTTTTCCATGCAAACTGTCTCACCTTGGGTATCTGTCTAACAGTTAAAACTTTGTTACCGACTCCTGGCTTGTTTCTTCCTGTGAACATGTGTATAGATCTAGACTGAGAATACAAATGACCTTACAATAACAACGGTAGGAGCCCTGTGGAAAGCAATGTGAAATGTTTGTCCTACTAAGAAATGGACAAACAAGCCGTGTGTCCTGTCACGAGGAATGCGAAGAACATGATGAATTATTTTGGTACTAAAAAAAGCAATAGCAAGGCTTGTTGCATGCTTTGCAGCAGGGACACTGCAAGCTCTTCTGCGCTGTTATAGGAATTTAGGACAAATTCCTGTTCTATACTAGCCAGCAGAAAACCAAATTAAAAGGACGGTAAGTGATACTAAAGAAGAGACACTTTTCTGTTAATAAACATGAAACTAATTGAAGGGAGGTACATACACAGAATGCCCCCAAGACTGCACTTGAAATACATCTCACTTCAAACTGGAGGGATTTTCTCTCCCAAAATAATGCCCTCCACATTTCTGTAGGTCACTCAAACCCAAATGTGTCTGCTGTATCAAGTGCCAGATGTAAAACGTAAACTGCCCAGGGGTATTTGACTTGCCCTGTAAGTGTTTCCCAAGCTTTCCAACTCACAGGAGGAAGAGGGGATATTATGTTTGGTACAGCTCCCACTCCCCACCCCCACACATCCTTTTGGATTCTTTGTCTCCCTATGCATTTTTCCCACATTCTCTGCTTTGAAGCAGATTTGCTTAGTGTAGAAAGAAGAAATGAAGATTTCTACAGCAAAGTCATTTACTATGTGATTTGTTTTAACTTACCAATCCCAGAACTTACGTATCTCTGGCTTTAAAATAGATAACACTACTGTTCTAAGGACCTAAGGGGGTCAGATCACCTATATACAGATGGATGAGGCTACATGCTATGCATTGCAATCAGTATCTGTGCATTGGACAATACCAGTATTATCCTATCTGCTATTTCTTTTTTTTTTTTAAGATTTATTCATTTTTATTGGAAAGGCAGATATACAGAAAGGAGGAGAGACAGAGAAGAAAGAAGCCCAATGGTTCACTCCCTAAGCGGCCACAATGGCTAGAGCTGAGCCAATCCAAAGCCAGAAGCCAGGAGCCAGGGCTCTTCTAGGATTCCCACGCAGGTGCAGGGTCCCAAAGCTTTGGTCCATCCTCAACTGCTTTCCCAGGCCACAAGCAGGGAGCTGGATGGGAAGCAGGGCTGCCGGGATTTGAACCAGCACTCATATGGGATCCTGGCCCATTCAAGGAAAGGACTTTTAGCTGCTAGGCCATGGCACCGGGTCCCCTACCTGCTATGTCTTCTTAAAACAAAACTGGAATTTCCCAGTGTCTCTTGCAGCTAGAAATGGACATGATATTTAGTCCTGACCAAGAGTTTTAAGTTTCTAGAAACTCTTGAAATTACCCTTACCACCTTTTTCTCTCTGCGCTAAATATAAGTATGATTCTAGAGGGAAGGTAGCCATGTTGTAATCTTCAGATAAACATGAGTATGGAAGCAATACCCTTAAAAATGACAGAGCAATAAAGCTGGATGTTGCCTGGAGCCTTAATGAAAACATGGAATCTTCCATAACATAAATGGAGTAACTATTACCAGCAAACTAAAATTAGATCACTAAGAATTAGATCACACATTCACGGAATTCATTCCTTAAACACAATCAACATAGGGACACTCATTTCTTGGAGTATTAGGCACATGAATATACGTACGTAAAGTTTCAGTATTTCTCATACCGCTGAAGACAGATGTTTTATTTAAACAACAGATGGCTTGATTTTCTATTTTTTTGTTTTCTTATTAAGGTCTTGATAAATATAAGGCATAGGCTTACCTTAACTTTTTTGCCAAGTCGATCCTTCCATTTCTCAGCTATAGAGCCTTCGACCAAGAGTAGTCTGCATTTTTAAACGAAAGAACCATTTCTAAAAATTTGAAACATACTACAGAAAAATATAAGGAATCAGTGCCAGGAAAGACATAATGGTTTTATTCTAAATGGGATAGCTAACTTTGAGAACACTAACGCTTAACCCTTTGGGAACCATAGATTTCCTTAAGAAACAAATGAATTAATGATCCCTTCCCTCAGGGAAAAAAAAATGTATACCCACAAATCATACACATACACCTTTTTATCTAACATATGTATAAAATGGAGGAACTCAACTAAAATCTATCTGAATTTCCCAGGAAGGTAAACAAGAGCCCAGGGCCAGGAGGAAAAGCTGGACATAACGAGAGCAGAACAGGTAAGGACATGATTGAGCAGTGGATTACCTGGAGCGCTCCTCATCTTCATAGCCCATGATGATATATTCTTCATTAACATTAAGTGGAGGGCACAGGCAGCCAGAGCTGGTGTAAAGGTTGACGGTATCCCTTGGAATGTTTACCAAAGAAGACTTTAGTATCTCCTTCACCTCCACTACCGCAGTCACATCATGGCACTTAGTCTTTATTTCTTTAACTTTAGCCCGAATGACTGGGATAAAAGACAACAAAATTGATATGGTAATGTGCTACACAATAAGTGCCTTGTTCTAAGAGGACAAGCAGAATTCTTTCTAGTCAATTCCTACCCACTTGGGGCACAATGAATGCAGAGGAGACGACAACCAGATGCTTTTATGTTAGACTAGGGAATGAGATAGGGAAAAACACACCTGTTTCCACTTAATGTTCAGCCCTGACTCCCTTCCAACTTGTACGTACCCACATATTTCTGTGTGTGCATCTGCTTGTACATGTGTTTCTCTTGGAGAAATCCATTTAGATAGTAAAAGGTAGAATGAATAATCTCATGGAATTTGACTCCAGGAATTTGTTTTGGATATGCATATGTGCATGTATACAGTTCTTTTTAAAAACATTTTATTTATGGGTCTAGCATTGCATGTAGCAGTTGAAGCTACCAGCATGTAGGAATTCCATGTGGGTGCCGATTTGTGCACCAGCTGCTCCACTTGCAATTCAGCTTCCTGCTAATGGCCTGAGATAAAGAGTGTGAAGATGGCCCAAGTTCTTGGGTCCCTGTACCCACGTGGGAGACCTGTAAGAACTTTCTGGCTCTTGGCTTAACCCTTGCCCTACCCTGGCTGTTAACAGCCCTCTAGGGAATGAACCTGCAATGAAAGGTATCTCTCTTCTTCTTCCTTTCCCTCTGTGATTTTGACCTTTATTATTATTTTTTAATTAATTACATCAATTTTGTGACACAGTTTCATAGGCTCTGGGATTCCCCCAACCCCTCCCTATACCCTTCCCCCAGGGTGGATTCCTCCACCTTGTTGCAGTATTACAGTCCAAATTCAGTCAAGATTCTTTCATTGCAAGAATATACCAAGCATAGAGTCCAGCAACTTATTGTCCAGATAAATTCAACAGTTTCTTGGGGAAACCATCTCTGGTCTGAAGGCATAGCTGGCAGAATATCATCCCAATCAATTTAAAGCCACAACAAAACATCAGCAACAATTTACAACATTATGGAATTAATTGACATGGTATTGAGTAACCAATATATTAAAACAAAATGCAAGTTCTTAACCACATCCTGTGACTACTTCATTGACATTTCAATTTTAGTTTATATACAGAACCGGCTGCTATACACCTTAAAATGGCTATAGGGTACTATTCAGCTGTCTCGTGTCTATTTTCATTTTAGTATGTAGCAGTTTATAGTGCTGAAGCATAATTTTGCTGAACTTTGCAGATTTTATGATAGTCTAAACTGATTTATAACTCTAACAAGGCATATGTCAACAATTGAAGTGCAGAACAGTTTTAGGAGGGGCGTGCAGAGAAATCTTCAATACCCTAGTGAGGAGTAACTAATCTTTGTGTCCTACCTAGTAAGGTGTGTGAGTCCATGCTGATCATTTCCTGTCTGGTTCTTAGCTTTCCTTGTTCTCTGCCTATCTATTCGTGTGTGTGTGTGTTTGGAGGGGTGGTGATCCGGAGCGACCCTGATGGTCATTGCAAGAGGGTGGGGATCCAAAGTTGGAACTAAGTAAGGACCAGAGGAAGCTCCTCTCCCAAGTCCTGAAGGAAGTTTACTGTTCTGTTGATTTTGACCCTTAAATAAATAATAATACATCTTAAAAATAAAGAGAACTTTTTATTTATTTGAAAGGCAGAGTGATAAAGATATCTTTTTTCTGCTCATTTATTTTCCAAATGCCCATCCCAGCAGGGGCTGAGACAAGAGCTAGGATGCCATCCAGGTCTCTCATGAATATGACATAAACCCAAGTAGTTGGCTTAGTACCTGCTGCCTCACAGGTGCATTGGCAAGAAGCTGGATTGTAAACAGAGACTGGACTCACTCCCAGGTGCTATGAGATCTGTGCATCCTGAGTGGTAATATAGCTTGCTGTGCCACAACATAGTTCCACAGTACTAATGGCTCCCAATAGGAATTTAAACTGTATTAAACATAATGTAAAGATCTCATATTCAAATGTGTTTTGCTTCTTCTTCAGAATTCTTATATCAAGTCTAGTAATAAATTTCCTGAAGTTTTATTTCTCTATAGTGTTATAAAGTTGTTCTGTAGACCCAGAGTGATGGCTCAGCAGCTAAATCTTCACCTGCCATGGGCCAGGCCTCCATATGGATGCTGGTTCATGTCCTAACTGCTCTAATTCCCATCCAGTTTCCTGCTTGTGGCCTGGAAAAGCAGTAAAGATGGCTCACAGCCTTGGGACCCTGCATCCATGTGGGAGACCTGGAAGAAGCTTCTGACATTTGGCTTTGGATTGGTTCTGTTTCAGCCATGGTAGCCACTTGGGGAGTGAACCAGCAGACAGAAAGCTTTTCTGTCTGTATCTCCTTCTCTCTGTAAATCTACTTTTCCAATAAAAATAAATACATCTTTAAAAAATAAAGATGAAATTTTGCTATTTAGAGTGGGCATAAGAAGTGATTAAGACACCTTCATCCCTGCCTGGTGATCAGATCTGACGCTAGCTCTCACTCCAGCTTTCTGCTACTGCACACCCTAGCACTTGGGTCCTTGTCATTCTTCAGGGGATGTTTTCCTGATCCCCAAGCATTTAAGGAGTGGGAGCAAATGAGAGATCTCCCCATCTTTCTGTGTATCTGCCTACCAAATAAAACAAGTAAACTTCAATTTGTTGTTGTCGTTGTTGTTAAAGAACTCATATGAAGTACCAAATTTAAAATAAAAAAGTTGTCCTGGGTGATAGTGTTGCCTATACATCTGCAGTCTTTTCACCTTCCTTACCTGAATGCACTCTGCAGTTTGCCTTAAGGCTTATCTGTTTATATGAAAGGCAGAGCAACAAGCAGATTGAGAGAAACACAGATGGGAAAAGATAGAGTTTCCATCCACTGGTTTTTCCCCACAATGGCTGCAAGAGCTGGAGCTGTGCCAGGCTTCACCCAGGAAACTGGATCTCCATTAGGGTCTCTCGGGTGGATGGCAGGTGTCCAAGAACTTGGGTCATCTTCTGCTCTTGCAGAAGCAACCAGACTCAACCCAGTGTTCATGAAGAACTGCCAGAGTTGCAGGCAGCAGCTTAACGTGCTGCACCATAATGCCTGCTTTGGAATACAAACTTTATAAAGAGAAGTTTGTGAATGCGGAGAAATAGTAAAAATGGTAATTAGTAAGAAACAAGTAACATTTGCCCAGGTTCCCTCTTTGTTCCGGAGTACTATTAATGCATGTTCCACAGAGCAAAATGTAATTTATCAGGTCTTACACAATATCCTAATGGCTAAGTCCTAGCTTTGCATGCCCAGGTGCCTGTTCATGTGCTGGCGGCTCTATTTCCCATCCAGCTCCCTGCTGTGGCCTGGGAAAGCAGGTGAGGATGGCCCAAAGCCTTGGGACCCTGCACCCGCGTGGGAGACCTGGAAGAAGCTCCTGGCTTCTGCCTTTAGATCAACTCAGTCTTGGCCATTGCGGCCGCTCGGGGAGTGAATCAGCAGATGGAAGATCTTACTCTCTGTCTCTCCTTCTCTGTATAAATCTGCCTTTCCAATAACAATAAATAAATCTTTTTTAAAAAAAAACAGTTTATCCAAAGGACTATAGTTTTTGCAAGCTTCTTAAGCATATATCTGCTCAGTGGGGAATCATTTATACATGGAGTACCTATCCTATTCATGGTCTCTCTCTAGTCTTTATTTTGACAAAAGATAAGGTGGCCTTTTTGAAATGTCATTTGGGAGACACAGATGATCGATTCTCAGCCCCAGCTCCGAGTGTGTCCTGGTTTAAGTGAATGTGCTTCACAGCATCCATCAACCATTAGAGATTACTGAACTGTGCAAATGTTTTCAAGCTAATGATTTATTTACCCAGTGTGTCTAGTATTTTCATTAGAAATTTTTAGCACATGTACCCACTCCAACATAAATATCTCTCCACAAGACCTACTTTATTATCCAAGTCATTTTGTTATAGCTCAAGCGTTCTTAATGTGATTAATCTGAATGACGCTGAGGCTTTGTCTCAATTACCCCTGGCTCCTGTCCTCAATTTGTTTTCTAAATAGACACAAAAAAAATGTACAAAATAAACATTAACCCTTTTGAAAAGAAAATACAGAAATATACTTCCTTTTAGGATATTCTGCCTTCTATCCATTCCAGGGCATGCCTGCTCCAAAAAGGCTATAAGTCAGTCCACACAAATGTCAAGTCTTAAACTACAGGCAGCATGATGACTGGCCATGAAAAAGTATCTTGTTTCTTTATATTTAATTATGACACACACCCCATTTCACTTTACAATATCCTCCAAAACTGCCCCTTCTGTGCTACAAATGCTAGCATTGCAACTTAAAAAAAAAAAAAAGAATAATATCAACTACTGCAGGATTAGAAAGCTAGATAAAGCAGTGGTAACAGAAACAAGTGGATTTCCCTAACATAAAACTTTTATTATGTTTTATTTTTAGAGTAACTACACTTAAAAGTTCATATAGCAAGTTTCACTCTTACAAAGCTAACCTCCTAACAGCTGAGCTCCACTCCCCCTTTCCCTGAGGTTGTTCACATCAATTTGTCTTTAGATAAGCAGCCTGGTCATTGGTCTTCTTAGATAAACACAACCTTTCAACTTTAGGCGATGTGTCCATCATAGTCTAAGAGAGGCTAGAGTCCTCTTGAGAGGAGTAGCAAGAAAAAAAAGTAAAGTTAATGCCATGGAAGAGAAACTTGGGGAATTAGGCACATTTCAAACGAATTTGACTAAGAATTTCTTATTTTGTTTGAAAGAAGTTTTGAAAGAGCTATCAAGCATTACACGTATAGTGTTTTACATATTTCTCTCCTTCCAGTTTACAAAATGTAAATTTAGAAATAAACTTGCCCTATAAGTCCTATGTCCTATGAAACAGGATATTTACACATAATGCCCTTATCTTCACCCCCCCCAAAAAAAATCACCCTAATTGTCTATTTAGGTTTCCTCGATGAGTCAGCATCTCTCATGAATATTCTGCAGCAGTGGTACCCTGTCTCTCATGAATCTCACAGATAATGACAAAAATCACCATAAAATGCCCACCGTACACAGTGAATATTGATTCTTCCCTGATTTTGCTAGCTAAAAAACTATTAATTCTATGTGCATTTGGTAGTGATTGATATTTATGACGCTGTAACACCGGAGTACCCAATAGAATACTAAGAATGATAAAATAAGGGACAAATTAAGTCTGTCATTCATAAAGTCAGGATAACACTATACCTGGTGGTTGTATTGGTTTTGTACATAGGGACCATCCAGCTCAGTCCCTATGTACGGAGACTTTTCATTCCTCAGTTAAGCTTCTCAGCTATGTTTGAATTGGTCTCTCTTCAATGAATGTTTCAGAATGTCATTTTTTAAAATCAATTGATAACAAAATGTTCCCTCAACTGAATACCAGAAATTTCTTTGTTATTTTCCAACTTTGTGAATGTTTTTCATGAAGCTGACTGAAGAAACAAAGTTTTCCTTTACAATCATTTCTTAAGCATTCAAGTCCTCTTCTGCTTAAACCAATGAAGCCGACCCGATGGCCCCTGCAGCCCTAAACTAAGTTCAGATCCTCTACAGCCTTCCAGATAGGGTCCCGGCTCTTTTAACTTAATTGTGGATACTGAATTATAAGGTTTTTTTTTAAAGATTTATTTTTATTATTTTGTTTTATTGGAAAGGCAGATATACAGAGAGGAGAGACAGAGAGGAAGATCTTCCGTCCGATGATTCACTCCCCAAGTGAGCGCAACGGGCCGATACTATGCCGATCCGAAGCCAGGAGCCTCTTCTGGGTCTCCCGCGCGGGTGCAGGGTCCCAAAGCTTTGGGCCTTCCTCGACTGCTTTCCCGGGCCACAGGCAGGGAGCTGGAAGGGAAGCGGGGCTGCCGGGATTAGAACCGGTGCCCATATGGGATCCTGGGCGTGCAAGGCGAGGAGCTTAACCACTTGCGCCACCACGCTGGGCCCATGAATTATAAGGTTTTAAGATACCAACAAATTGTTAAAAATTTTTGCCAATGCAGAGGGTATAGGTGAGCTAAACTAACGCCAACGCCCATTTGGGTTCCAGTCCATGTCCTGGCTGCTCCACTTCCAATCCAGCTCCCTGCTAATGGCTTGGGAAAACATCACAGTTCAGCCCAAATACTTAGGTTCCTGTCACCCGTGTAGAAGATCAAGAAGAAACTCCTGGCTCCTGGCTTCATTTGGGGAGTGAACCAAAGGATGGAAGATCTCTCTATCTCTTCTGCAACTCTGCCTTTCAAATAAATAAAATAAATCTTTTTTTAAAAAGAACTTTGCCAACTCAAAACACATTTTAACTCATTGCACCAAGGAGGACTATGCTTTCAAAATTGTCCTTTATTATATTTAAATCATATTCTTAAACTAACGTTTTCACTTACATGAGCATGCACACACAGATACACACATGCACCTTTCTTATCACAGTTGCTCATCAGCAACCATGGAGTTATACATACCATAGTTGTAATTATTCCGGAAATAGGTCTTCTGTGTAGCTCTAATAGGCTTACATTTGCAGCGTTCTGAAAAAACATAATTCTGTTATAAGAAAATTTCCATGGTTACCCTTCTGTTGTTCATTCACACATTTTATTAAGGCTAAATCTGAACTTGGTGCTGATCTCTTTCTCTTACAACGGCAATCCTATTTGTCCTTTCTACGTAACCTCTTATCCAATGCCACATCCTATTCCCTAACAAGCCTCCCAAATTTACTGTCTACAGAAAGGCAGTTCTCTGCTTATGCTCAGATGGCAGGCATACCGGTGCGGAATAACTCACAAGTTTCTTGTATTTTTGACAAATTACAAAGCACTATCCTAAAAACAACTCCTGCACCTAAAAGCAACCGAAGGAGAAAGCAGGTGTCTTAACAAACCAGTGGACTTAATTTTTACATAAAAGGGCAGAAAAAGCTAGTATATCATTTAGTGATTTCTTTTTTCACATTGAAGAAATTAATACATATATATTTCAAAAAGATAATTGTCATGTTTTAAAAATATCTAGATGGGGGTGGGTATTTGACTCAGCAGTGAAATCACTGCTCCCGGTGCCGACATTCTATATGGGAGTGCCTAGTTTGTGTCCTACATCCTCTGCTTCTAACCCAGCTTCCTCTCAGGCATCCTCGGGTTAGCAGATGATGGCTCTAGAACAACGATCCCTGCTAGCCTTGTGGCAGACCAATATGTAGTTCCTGAATGCCCTTGTGGCGTGGCCAGTCCCAGTTATTGCTGGCATTTCAGGAGTGAACCAGAAGATGCAGGCTCCCGTTACCCTCTTCTCCCCTCTACCTCTCCAGCTTTCAAAAGAAATGAAAAAAAAAAAAGTTTTAATCTGTGTAAAAATCAGTCCTTGCCTTGAACGCCCGGGATCCCATATGGGCGCCGGTTCTAATCCCAGCAGCCCAGCTTCCCATCCAGCTCCCTGCTTGTGGCCTGGGAAAGCAGTCGAGGACAGCCCAAAGCTTTGGGACCCTGCACCCGTGTGGGAAACCCGGAAGAGGTTCCTGGTTCCTGGCTTCGGATCAGCATAGCATCAGCCATTGCGCTCACTTGGGGAGAGAACCATCGGACAGAAGATCTTCTCTGTCTCTCCTCCTCTCTGTATATCTGACTTTCCAATGAATGGATGAATCTTTAAAAAAAAAAATTAAATGGCATGTGTTCCTTCTGTTTTGACACAGAAGTAGAAAAGAACAAGCAAAACAAAGAAAGGAAGCCAACCAAAATGTTTTCTTTAAAAAGTGTTTTATACTAACAATGAAGACCAATACATCCTGGATGTTTTTGTTGATCACTTGGTGTTGTATTTTCTAATCAAAATAACTCTAATGTCCAGCTGAAATTGTTCAAGTAGCTGCTCTGAGCAGAGCAGTGCCTCCCTGCCAGTTGTATGTTCTGGAAGGAAGTGCCTCCACTGGGGACAGCTGGCAGCAGCAAGGGCTCTCAGCGCCCTGAGACAGTGAGGTTTTGCAACATTGTACATAACACCTTCCCTTGTTCTCCAAAGAGACTTTAATGCACAGTCTCTGCATAGGCAAGATCTCACTCCCAATAAGCCATGGACAGTATTAGTGCTTGTTGCTGTTTTGAAGCAAAAAGACCCTCCTATTAGCAAAATGTTACTATTGCCATTTAAAGCAAAATGGAAACTTATGGAGTTTGGGGTCTCTCACATGTTGTTATTTTGTGCTAAAGTGTTACTTTTTCTTTCCTTTTTTTTTGAAAGGCAAAGTTATAGAAAGAGGAGCAGAGACAGAGAGAATCTTCCACCCACTAGCTCACGCCCCAAATGGCCACAACAGACAGTGCTTGGGCAAGCAGGAGCCAAAAACCAAGCACTTCATCTATGTCTCCAATATGGATTCAGGGGCCCAAGGCCTTGAACCATCTTCCATTGTTTTTCCCAGGCCATCAGCAGCAAGTTGGATTGGAAATGGAGCAGCCAGGACTCTGACACCCATATGAGATTGTGGCACCACCGACGGAGGCTTTCACTGCTACGCCACAATGCTGCTCCCAGGGTTATTTGATGGATTTTTTGAAATCAGATGGATTTTTTTTTAAATCAGATTTTTTTTTTTGAAATCAGATGGATTTGAAATCAGATGGATTTTTTGAAATCAGAATATTTCTGAAGAAACAAATTGCTACGGTCTTTGATTTACATATTACCCTCTTCCATATAGGAGAAGTATAGTTAATGGCTTCTGTTTTTAATACATTAATAACAAAACACATGTTTTAGACAAATTGCCTACATATCTGTGATTCTTCAGAACTTTTCATATACTCTAATAAAAAAATTCTTGGTAGAATATACAGCTAGACCAGCCTGGTGGCTTAGCAAGCTAGTCCTCCGCTTACAGCACTGACATCCCAACGCAGGCGCTGGTTCGTGTTCCAGCTAATCCACTTCCAATCCACCTCCATGGTTATGGCCTGGGAAAGTAGCAGAGTGTGGCTCAAATTCATGGATTCCTGTACCCATGTGGGAGGCTGGAAGAATATCCTGGCTCCTGGCTTCAGATCAGCTCAGCTCCAACCATTGCAGCCTTTTGGAAAACAAACCAGCAGCTGGAATACTTTTTTTTTCTGTGTCTCTTTCTGCCTGTAAAATCTGCCTTTTGAATAAAAATAAATAAACCTTGGGGAAAAAAATGAAATACAGTAACTGAGGTCAGTGTTGTGGTATAATTAATTAATAATTAATCTCCTTCAACACTAGCACCACTTTGGGTTTGCCCACAACTACTCCATTTCCAATCCTGCTTCCTGCCAATAGACCTGGGAAAGCAGGGAAAGACAGCCCACGTCCTTGGGCCCATCCAATTACATAAGAGAACTGGATGGCATTCCTGTCTCCTAGCTATTGTGTCCAATTGGGAAGTACACAGACAATCTCTCTTACTCTTCCCTCTTCTTGTGACTGTGTTCCAAATAATAAACAAATCTTGGAAGATAGAGAAAGAAGAAAAAAGAGAAGAAAAGAAAAAAGAGGGAAGGAAGAAAGGGAGGAAGGAAGGAAGGAGAGAGAGGGAGGAAAGAAAGAAAAAGAAAGAAGAGAAGGGAAGGGAAGGGAAGGGAAGGGAAGGGAAGGGAAGGGAAGGGAAGGAACAGACAAGCATGTGGCAGGCATGGTGGCACAGCAGGTGGCTGACTACTTAGGATACCCTCAGGGCACGTCTGAGTGCCTGGGTAGAGTAGTGACTACTCCCTGCTTCTGCTCCAGCTTGCTGCCAAAAAGCCTAGAAGGCAGCAGATGATGCCTCCTGCTTCGTATTCCTGCCAGCAAATGCAGAGCCCTGGCTCCAGCTCTGACCTGGCCCTAACCCTGGCTGTTGTGTGAAAAGTAAGCCAGCAGATAGAAAATATACTTGCCTCTCCCGCTCTCCAGGTCACTCTGTCTTTTATGTATTTGAAAACGTACATAGAAGCTTTCACCGCACTGAGTATAATTTCATGTTAATATCAATTTACCTTTGCTTGAAACATTAATAAATTTTTTCCATGAAACTTCCCAAGAAGAGATTTTTCTAAATTTTACTTTAAGGTAATTTGGAAAACCCGTGCTATATATTTATATAATTATGTATGTAACTATATATATACATATATATATATATAGACAGAACAATTACTGTGCAGTTAATAAGCTAAGCAGTTACACTCCTGGGACAACATTTTGCTCATTTGCAATGTGCTGATCTACTAGCGATAGTGCTTACCACTTGCTTTCAGCCCTGGGTCCCTCTCCAGGTCCCAGTTCCTAATTCTTGATATCAGCAAGTATCTGTCTGGCTAAAATAGCCAATCACTCATTAAGAATAATAAGGAAGAATGGAATTTTATACTAATAAGGCCCACAAGTGAAAGATCTTCCTTTCACTTACATATGCATATTCAACCCCAACGCTCCCATCTGGGAGTATTCATGAAGGTGCATCTTAGATCAACAGGTTGCAAGGGCTATCCTTCTTCTAAATGACTTAAGCATGCATTTAAATATATACAGACTCCTAACCAAAACCTAAAGATGTTGAAATTGCAAAGAGCCATAGTGATACACTGCACAAATTATTTAGTACATTTTTGTGTCTGCCACTCTAAACGTGACTGTACCTGTTGATTTTTCTCTATAACTGTAGTCTTACCACCCTTTTCTGCTTTAATTGTTAGGAGTCTTCTCTCAAGGCTTTCTAGAGACACAAAGCTTTTAAATTCTTGCTTCTAGAGTGTCGAGTAAAATTAAATTTTCTGAGTTTTGCACTAAAACCATTACAAACAGATTTTCATGTAATCCCATATTGAAAGTTTACAAAGCATCTGCACTGGTGGTTTTACCTTAAGACGAACATACATGAAAATACTAAAGAGCTCACTGACACAATAGACTAAACTATGGCAAAGAAATCTTTAAACACAGGCAAAAAATTTACACTAACAGCCTATTCACATCAAAGTCTACACTATCCCAGATTCACGTGCCACTAGCAACCACGGCCACTACTAGGAAAACATCTGCAGCAGTTTTGCCTCACATCTCTGCACTCTCCTTGCTTCACTCGTTCAGCCATTCTCCTAGAACTGATGATCTCACAACGTCTCTGCTAGCGAAAACAGAAGACTGCTTCCTGTCCTAGCACACACCAAAGTGTAACACCCTAGTACAGAGTTAGCAAAAGTAAAAAAGAAAAAAAAACCTACTAGATCTCCTTGGAACTTGGTCTGCAACTCAGAGGAGATGCCCAATGTGTATGTCAAGTGCTGGACAATCAACAGCCTCATTGTCTCAAAAGTGAGACACCCAGAACTCGGGAGCAGAAATGATCAAGTTCTCCTTTACTCTATATTGCTCAATAAAATACATAGGGGTAATGGTATTATTATATGGTTTTTCAAGCTCTGAAGACTTTTCAGTTGATACTTTTCCTGCAGTTACAGAGTTTGGTACTCACTGCTACATCACTTGATGCTGAACCATGTCTGAATTCAAGCTTCAGTGTAATACAACTTTC